TGGAGTTAAGAAACTTTTCAAAGTAAGAGAAAAGCATGTGTGTGGGCCTAGGATTAGGAAAAACAAGCAGGGTCCATTCAAGGAACTGAAAAAAGCTCAACGTAGCTAGAGTAGGGAGGGAAGCAAAAAAAGCCAGAAAGTAAGCTGATGCCTGATAGGGAGACTTACTAAAGGGCATGTCTTCTACTTTGCCCACTCTAACTATAAAATTGCATACATCCCTCAGCCTTCTAGATGAGTGAACTCTTCCCCAATACACTGATGATTTCAAAATACCTAAGTCTAGTCCAGAACTATCCTATGGGTGCCAGACCATTTATCTGACTACATGCCATACATTACTATCTGGACCCAGAAATCAAGGGCCATATCCTAGAGATGACAGAGTGAGAAGCTGAAAAAGAGGCTGGGTCCCTGATGACAGCAGAGCCACCACACCAGCCCTGAATTGTCTACCTCTGGACTTCTCTTACATGAGAAACAAACTAATAACATGTTCAAGCTAGCAACTGTATGTTACTCAGAGGCAAACCTAATCTTAACTGACACAGGAGGCTTTGAAAGTATTGTAAGGTGGAAGGTTGCAAAAGGTATTCTGAAGGAATAATTGTCAAGATTCAGTGACTGACTTCAGGACTTCCCTGGTGGTCCAGTGGTTAAGACTCCGTGCTCCCAATGCAGGGCGCCTGGGTTCGATCCCTGGTCAGGGAACTAGATCCCACATGCATGCCGCAACTAAGAGCCTGCATGCCACAACTAAAGATCCCACATGCCACAACAAAGATCCCCAGTGCCACAACTAAGACCTGGTGCAGTCAAATAAATAAATAAATAAATATTAAAAAAAAAAGATTCAGTGATTGACTCAATCTAAAAAAGAAACATTATCTGTCATATGACATACAAAAAAATTGTTGTTAATTCTTCCAATATCCTTATTGGAGAATTACAGCCACTTTTGGTGTCTGCATTTTTTAACTGAGATATAATTCACATGTAACATATTAATTTCAGGTGTACAACACAATGATTCAATATATGTATATACTGTATTGCAAAATGACTGCCACAATCAGTCTAGTTAACATCCAGCACCACACACAGTTTGTTTTTTTTTCTTGTGACGAGAACATTTAAGATCTACTCTTAGCAACTTTCAAACATATAATACAGTATTCTTAACTACAGTCACCACGTTGCACATTACATTCCAGGCCTTATTTATTTTATAACTGGAAGTTTGCACCTTTCGACCACCTTCACCCATTTCACCCACCCCCGACCCCTCACCTGGTGTCTGCATTTTTAAAGAATGTAACAAAAACTAGAGAAGACATCAAAAAGTACTGACCAAACTTTCTTAATTAAAAGAAAAATAAAAACAGCTTTCAGTAAATAAGAGCTATCTGTAAAGTTGTTTTCAGCCCTATTAGATTGCTTTGTCTACAAATAGACAAACATGAGTATAATTTAAAACTGCAAGCAGTTTTTAAGAAGTTCAAAGCATTAAGCTCAACTAAGAATCTTAGTAGGGAAAATAAGCTTAAAAATAGGCACAGATATATAACAATTCCCATTATGTTTACTGGAAGCGGTAAGCTAAAACACACCACCATCAGAGAGACCAGACCTTCACGCTCCAAGGCAGTCAAGACCTTGAGAGCTAAGCTGGAAAGTGGAACCCCCTCAGGAAGCAGGATACCAACTACAGGACTTCCTGAAATCCACCTCTAAGATTCAGAGTCTTCTCCCCCATCCTGGGAGAGGAAGAGCAGTAACAGCCATCTTGCCCCTCTGCTTTGCAAGCCCACAGCACTCAACCTCGCCCAGCTGAGTCACATTTGGAAAATTCTAGATGGGAATTCAAGCCCAACTCTCACAGTAGCTCATTCTTCCTGAAAATTTTTTCTCCCTTTGAGTCTTCCTGTTGAATTGGAGGTGCTTCCATCACCCACTGGGACACAGAGCCCCTGCCCTCTCACTCTGGGCATGGGAACCGTCATTGCCAGAGTGTCCTGTGACTTCAAGTAGCAGTTGAGCATTATATACACTCTGATTACAAGTAAACAATACTTTAAAAACATGAACATGAAATAAATAAATAATAAACATGAATATGAAAAAGACCGAAACAAAATAAAGAAAAACTTTACACGTTATTACATTGTTTTTATATTTAATCACTTTTAAAGGGCTCATTTTACCAAAGCCTATCCTACAAATGTCACAGGTATTTCCCACATATTTGTTTACAGTCACTAAAAGGAAAATGGAACAGTCCTCTCCAGCACTAACTATTCCCATTATCTACAAAGTGAAAGAGGACACACTGCATTTGCAGCAGCAAACAAAATCACTGATTTTCTTAAGTCTCAACAAAATATCCCAAAACATACTGTGATAGGCAGAATAACAATTCCCAAAGATGTCCACATCCTAATCTATGGAACCTGTGATTCGGTTATTTTCCATAGCAAAAGGGACTTTGCAGATGTAATTAAGTTAAGGACCTCAAATTGAGGGAAATTACCCTGAATTACCCAGGTGTGCCTGATCTAATCACATGGGTCCTTAAAAGTGGAGAACCTTTCCCAGCTGTGGTCAGATGGACTACAGAACTGCCAGAGAGATGCAATACTGCTGGTTTTGAAGATGGAGGAAGAGGGTCACAAGCCAAGGAATGTGGCGGCCCCTAAAAGCTGGAAGAGGCAAGGAAACAGATTCTCCCCTGGAAACTTCCCAAAAGGAACACAGGCTTGACACACTGATTTTAGCCCAGTGAGACCCATTTCGGACTTCTAAAATACAGAACTTTAAAAGAATAAGTTTGTATTGTTTTAAGCCATTAAATTTGTGGTGATTTGTTGCAGTAGTCATAGAAAACTAATACACACACATTAAACAACTTCTAACAATATGTGAAATCATCTGGAGAGAAACATAATCGAATTGCCCAAATACTTAGAGCAGTATGAGATATAAGTTATTTGTGCATTTTGTGGTATATTTCACTTCTATTTTTCTCCTGCCCTCACAAAACTCCATCCATTAAAGAGCTAGCCAAAGTGACAATTCTTCAAGCATTCTGTAGAAGGATGAACCATATTAACCAAGAAAATGGAACAGTCAGGACAACAGGATTAACTGGAAAAATCAGGAAACAAACTGTATTTTTCAGGAAGTCAAACATCAAAATGTTTGCACTGCTTCTTCAGTATCAAATGGATACCACATTTTAAAAAATAAGTCCTTCTAGATATTAAGAGCTTATTATTAATTTTTTAGGTGTGACAATCATATTGTGGGTATATTACAAAGAGAGTGACTCAATCTTCCAGAGACATATACTCAAATATTTACAAATGAAATGGAGTTGGGAATAGGAATTCAGGGCCATAGATGAAACTAAATTAGCCTGAGTTACTGATTGTTAGAGCTGGGCAATGGGTACGTCGGGGTATATTACATTATCCCTGGTTGAGCTTTTCCAAATTTAAAAGTTACAAAAACAAAGTCCTCGACCTACTTATAATAATATAGATTTCTTAATATATTTAATAGTTGAAACTCCTTCCTGTAACATTGACCCATCTCAATTTTCTGCCACTTAATCCACGTGCATCAATTCTTTCATTCCCACTCATTCTGCCCTGTTTACTAACCTAATGAGTTTCAGGAAGTCACCTAACAGCTAAAAGGTTGATTCTTCATCTGCAGAATGGGAATAGTTATACTTGCCCAGTCTGTCTCTGAGTTGCAGAGAAAATTATCTAAGATAAACAATACAAAGCAAGATAACCATTCAAGAAATCTACATTATTCATAACTTCCAGGCTCAGCAGCAACCATTCACCTATTACTATAGATCCCCTTCCCTTCCACCTCCAGTTCCTCTCTCGAGCCCTCAATTCATCCGCCCATCTGAAAGGGTACACTCCTCTCCACCGCCTCCACACACACACCGGTGTTTTCATATCTTTCAGCACCTTCTCTCTACACATCTCTCCCTCCAGCTTTCAAGGATCCTGCTCAATCTGCCGCCCTAGCAAGTCTATCCTGTGTACCCCTTTGCTGGCCCTATTACAATCATCCCATCCCTTCTATTTCAGTACTTTCATCCTATCAGCTTTATTAACTCACTACTGTTCACAAACACCCGAGCTAACTTCCCACCCTCTCACCTTTCAGTTAAAACACAATCGCTAGTTGCCAGGGAGTGGAGAATAAGGAGTGACTTCTAATGGGTATAGTTTTTTTGGGTGATAAAGATGTTCTTAAATTAGACAGTTGCACAACCCTGTGAAAATGCTTTTTAAAAACACTGAGTTAAAAAAAAAGAACAGGGCCTCCCTGGTGGCGCAGTGATTGAGAATCCGCCTGCCGATGCAGGGGATACGGGTTCGTGCCCCGGTCCGGGAGGATCCCACATGCCACGGAGCGGCTGGGCCCGTGAGCCATGGGCGCTGAGCTTGCGCGTCCGGCAACGGGAAAGGCCACGA